TGTTCTACAAAAAAAAAAATTTAGTGAAAATAAAAAAATTTTTTTTTAAAATATTTATCTTATTCATTTTCCTAAATACTTTATATAAGTAAATTTAACTATATTTTATTTTATCCTTTTAAAAATTTAAAAAGATCGATAATTTTCTTTATTGGACAAATAATGATAATTTTGAATAATCAAAAGCTTTTATATTAAAGAGTTAATTTAAAATAAAAATAGAGATGAGTTTTTATTAAATTATAAAAGTAAATCTTAAAAAATGATTATATATACAGAGTAATGAAAATAATTACTTTAAAAAAATTTTAAGGATTATATATATTATAAGAAATCATCTATTTCATTATATATCATGTAATTACATAAGACATACATATTAAATTTAGAATGAAAATATAACCTATCTTTTATGTTCGTAATATAAGTATTTTTATCTGAAATAAAATTAGTGGAGATTTCTCTATAGACATCTAATAATTTTCCTATTCACTACTTCACTGAGCTTTTAAAAGGTTATTATTGAATCACAATTTTAGATTATCTTCATTCATACCTAACTCTTTGATTATTATTTCATCTTATAAATTCGATAATGTTAATAAATAATTTTTTAATCACCAATTAAGGATTGTTTAAAGAAACCTACTTTATATAATATCTTTTATTATCATTTAATAATGTGATTTATATAACTTTATTTGCCATCTCTAAAATAAAAATATATATTCTGTATATAATTATTATATAAAACCTTATATTAAAGTAAATATACTCCACGTCAACATATAGACACATGTGTATATATTCATTAATATAATCATCTATGTTATGAGATGCCACAAACACCAACTTAATTTCTAATATTTCTATATTTTGTAATTGTAATTTTACAAATATATACATAACTTCTATAATGATAATAACTATTTAACTAATTTTTTTTTATATCTATCTTTTATACTTTATTACTATAAAAACAAATTAATGTATTCTAGGAATTTTTACTTTATTTTATCTGAGAATTTAGCTAAGCTGTAAAATCTTAGTCCTATAATCATTGAGAAAAAAAAATCTCTATATATCTCATGGTATAACTAATATACACAATGTACTTATTATAATAATATATTGTATATTTATTTTATTTTTATGATAATATGTTATAATATTACAGTAATTTTTAGAATTACATATTAAGTATCAGCTTAAATTATTTATTAACATTATTACTGCTATTATAATTAAGATTCATTTATTATATATGTATTAAATTATTTTAAAATTATTATTACCCTATTATAAATAATTTTTAGTTTAATAGTTAAAATTATTTAAATATCTTTTATCATAATATTTATAAAAATACATTCTAATAAATAATTTTTCTATAATTCTTATCTAATCATCAACGTTATTAACGTATATTTATAAATACTGTTTTTCTTATAATCACATATTGTATTTACAATTTGAAAAATTATATTATTATAATAACAATACATTTAACAATGATTTTATTGTTATCATTGTCTAATTGTAATTATAATTACAATATGAATTGTCATTAACATTGAATGAAGAGATTTTTATCCTTATAAAAATTTATATAAATATAAAAGTATATAAATAGAATTTTATAGCATTTATATTTAAAATAATTCCTATATACATGTATAATAAAATTAATTACATACTCTTAATTTATTTTATCAAACTATAAAATAACCAAACATTTATTTTATAACATCAACCTTTGTTATACCATATTGTATTACATTAAATTACATTTTATTTATTATTATTTCTATTTTTTTCTGTTTATATTAACTTAAATTTTTTTGTCGTTATTATTGTAAAAAAAAATTTTTATAAATGTATTAATCTGCATTGTTTGATATATATAAGAAAGATATAAATTACAAAGAAATATTAATGCTCCTTCAAATTTTTTTTTTTTTTTTATTTTCTTTATGTACAGTAATAATTTTATGCTTCCATATATTTAAAAAGAAATAAAAATAAAATATTTTAAAGTTAAAGTAATTAACATAATGATATATCACCTTCTACAAAAAAGTTGGTTTTTTATGCTATTTTTTCTTATACTTGCATATTTATAAACAAAATAAATTTCTGTTATATTTATTTTTATCAATATTTTTTACAATATATTTTAAACCATAAGATTTTAAATTTTCTTTCTTATATTTAATTTAACAATAATATAAATTACATTAATAACATTATTTTAATAATTATTCTAATTAGAAATAAAATAAATTCAAATAAAAAAAATTTTTTAATTATACTGTATAAGTCTTGATTAATTTGGATAAAAAGCAAAAAGAACATCAACTAAACTAATAACTATATCGTGAGTTTAAACAGTTATAACAAGTTCTACATTTTTCATGGAGTAATGATTATTAATCAAAAAAAAAAAAAAAAATATATATATATAATAACTGAAATATTTAATATGTAAGTTACACTTATCTCCTTTTTAATTTAATTATATGTTTACGTAAATTAAGTAATTTTTAATTATATTTATACTATCTTAAATATTTGAATATCTACTAATAATTTTTAAGTTAATTCAATGTGTACATTTCTTAATTAAAATTATATTTATGGATATATGAAATTAACAAACATAAATTATAATTAGCACAATATTTTTTTATAAAAATATATGCAATAAAAATTACTAAATTATTAGAACATGCAATGGATAATTAATAAAATAAAATATTTAATAATAATATATAATTATAAAGAGCAATTTCAAGAATAAATAAAACGCTTAACGAAGATTTTTTAAAATAATAACCCTCTTTTAATATTAATGAAATATTTTCTCTTTTTTTTTATGATTTTCTCCATTATGAATATATATATATATATATATCATTAAATGAGTTTAAAGACATCTCGAGTAAAAAAATATATAAGTTATATTAATGAAATAAAAAAAAAAAAAAAAAAACACAACATAATAATTTACTTTATAATTTAATTTCTAAAATATTACTGAACAATAATATATTCATTGTTTTTAGTTGTTTAAAAGTATCAAACAGAAAAAATTCATATAAAAATAAATAACAATTATTTAAAGAAAAAATTATATCTATCTCTACTTACTAGCAATTATATCTATTCCTATCTAAGTTGTGTATTATTTGTACTATAATCCATAATTATAAAAATAATGAAAAAAAAAATATATAAATTTTTTTTATATTTCATGTACGATATATTTTTTTTACAAATAGAAACTATATTTTTAAACTAATTTTATTATTCTTTAATATGATAGATTAAAATTACATGTAATCTCATGAAAAAAGATTAAATCATAATATCACATATATATACAAATTTATATATAACACAATGTCAATTTAGATTATAAAAAAAATTATTTTTACTCTCGTTATTATTAAATGCTATTTCTTATATGGAAAAACTTCACTATATATAGTTTTCATTTTAATTTCATATTCCCTTAATACTAAAAATTAATTGCACTTATACTAATTTTAATAACTCATCATTTAATTATATTGAATTAAGTTTTATAGAACAATTATTACATTCATTATTATTATTAACATCATAGCTAAAGCACAAAATATAATATTATTTTTGCATTCGTTTTTATTATTATTAATTTTCTTTTTCTTATAGTGCATACAATAGTATATAAGGGATTATTTATATAGAAGTAATTAAACGCTTATAAATTAGCTTTTATTTTTTTTTATTATTGAAAATTACTTTGTTATTGTTTTTGTATCCTTAATGTAATTAATTATTTATTAACTACATTTGTTTTAAATTAGATATTTTAGCATATGCAATGATTACACTTTTATTGTTATTATAAATACCATTAAATAAATATAATGTTTAATAACTATTATTGTTATTGATACTCAAGAATTTCTTGTTTTATTTTATTTTAATTTTTTTTTTAAAAAATATTCTTTAATAAAAGTTTTCCTTTTTTTCATTTTTTATATCATATAATTTATTTTTTTATATTCTTTTTTTATTACAAACCTTCTTGTTTTTTCGAAAAATGTTAATTTTTAATCAGAATTTTGTATCTAAATTTGTTTTGTAAAATTACATAGTAGTCATCTGTTTAAGAAAATTTATAATTCTTTTTTTTTTTTTTAATAGATTAATATTTAAATACAAAAAATAAATGATTTTTTTTTTTTTCTTTATAGCTTTTTATGGTTATTTTTCATTTATGCATTTTATTATACAGTTTTATTTTGCTATAGAAAAATAGAAAAATTATACTTAAAATAGAGGATAAATTAGAACAAGTTTAATAAGATAATGCAAAAGAAAAAAAAATTTATAGATCATTAATTGATCTATTTGACCAGAAATATAGAGCAGAAACAAAAGTAAAAAAAAAAAAAATTGGAATAATATTAACTTTTTTATATAATTATAAAATTTGAATTTTAAAAATAATTCTTTCCAAATATTTCATAATATAAAATTAGTAATCCATGATATATTGTTAAAAATACTATATAAAAAATTTAATATTTTAAAAACCTTTAAGAAAAATTAATATGCAATAAAACAAAAATAATAAATATTTAAATAAAAATGTGCATTTATATCAAAATATTCAATATCGACTAAAGAAATACAGTTTCATATATAATAAATTTTTTTTTGTCGATATAGAAAAAAATCTGTTATTTAATATTTAAATTTCACAGCTGTATTTTTTCCTTATTAATATGTGCTTTTTATTTATGTTTCTAATTAAATTTTGAATAAAATTTTTTTATGTATGCATATTTGTTTTGGATGGTGTTATACTAATATTTCCATATAATTTTAATATATTTTTTTTATTTTTAAATTATGAAAAATTTTCATATTTAAAATTAACTAAATGAATATTTCTTAAAAATAAATTAATAATTGCTTTAGAAAAAAGTTATTTTGCAATTAAAAATATGGAATTCCATAATACACAAAAAAATGACTTATTCAAGGCTAAATGGACTTCTAAAAAAGCATATTTAAAATTGTGTGCTTTACATTTTTATGGAATTCAAAAAAAAGAATATAAGAAAAATTACTCAAAGCTCTTTCTTTATAAGCTTTTTAAAGTTCTATTTATTTCTCTTTTATACACTTTTTTAGAAGTAAGTTTAACTCTATATTTAAATATATATTTTTTTTAATTTTATAAAATTATTTTTATACTATATAAACTTATTAATTTCAAAATATTTTTATGCGAATTAATTTTTTGAATTTAAATATAGTATATATGTGAATCTGGTGATAAAATAACTTTAGCATATCAATATAGTAAATACCATATGAGAACATTAGTAGAAAAAAAAAAGAATGAAACATATTTTAAAGAGATTCAACAAAATGAAAATTTTAATAAAATTTGGGAGAATTGTATAGAGAATTGGAGAATTCAGGTTTTTTTTATGAATTCAGAATTTCTTGTAGAATGGATTTTATTTTGTTCAATGAATAATGTAAAGGAAGAATGCAAGAATGAATGGTGGGGTAAATGGATTGAAGAAATTACAGATAAAGTTAAAAGTAAGTATGATCGAGATAACTGTGATTATGAAAAAAATAAAGGGGGAAGATGCTCCCTCGAAAGGTTTAATAATTTTCTTGAGATGAAAAAGAGGTCATTCAGAGAATTTAAGATAATTCATTCGAATCTATGGAAAAAATTTCTTGGGGATTGTGAAGAGAATTTAAGAAAAACTAAAGAACTTGAGAATGCTTCAGAAGAAGTAAAATAAATCAAGTACTGTTATTTTAATTCATGTATTGTCTTTTACATTAACACCGATGTATTAACATTTGAATTTTATTTTATTTTTATTCCTATTTTTTTATGTAACCCTTTTAATTTTACTTATTATGTGATTTATTAATTTCCCATTCAGTAATTTTATAGAATGATGAATAAACAAATTAATAAAGAATATGTAGAATTGCCTCTTTTGTTTTTATTTATTAAAAAAGTATGTTTAAGTAGAAAGCTTATTTATGTTAACAAAGTTTAAATGTAAATTGTCTGTCCTATGTTAAAACAAACAAGAATTAAAAAACAAAATAAAAACAAAATCATTTTGTTTTTCTTTTTAAATCCTTGAATTTATTTTAATTTGTTCAAAATTATTTAATTGAAGTTAATTTCCATACCATAAGACACAATATAATTAACAAAATAATAATAATATAAAAAAAATTTAACAAAACTACAAAATAAAATAATTCTTTTTTATTTTTTAAATAGCTAATATGTATATAAAATTTTATATTTTTCATACGACTATTAATTGTCATTCCAAAAAGGTATATAATGTTTTTTATTAATCATTATAATTATGATTCTATGTTTGTATTTCATTATAGTTACCTGGTTAATAAAAGGAATTATGAGCCTTTTTGAGGATAAAAAATTAATAACTATTTGAAAAAAATATATAGTGATCTATACAAGAACTAAATAGGTAAAAAAAAAAAAGAATTCTAATAATTTTTTTCATTTTTATTTTTGTAAATTAAAAATATTAAAAAAAAAATATTTTTTTTTTATGTTGTTGGGAATTTTTGAGAATAATTGTTAGGGAAAAAATTTTCTTTGTAGTAAATTTTATTTAAATTTTTAAGGAAAATTTTCTTTTTTAAATATAAAATTTTTACACTTTGTAGTGTCTATATAATTTAATTTGCATTTTGTTAATTATATATGTTTGTTAATTTGAGAACAATGAATTTGAATTCCTAAACATTATACATTACATTATATATTAAAAATATGCAATTAAAATCAATATTTAATGAAAATTTAAATTTTTAATAAAAATAGATATTTTTATTAAAGTATATAAATGTGTCTTAAAAATAATAAATGCTCATTGATAAAGACCATATATAACACATTATACTGGTTTATAGCGTTAAAATTATACTTAAATCCATTAAATTGGTAAAGGAAACTCTACATGCTTTTTATTATTTTGTTCATTACTGCAGCAAAGTTATTGAGCAGATAATTAATAAACCAAAATGATAATTATGGAAATTATACAAAGATCATTTCATAATAAACAACTTAACTAATTGCATTATTAACTAAAAAAAAGTTTTGAATGGAAAAAGGATATTCATAAATATTTGTTTTATTAATTGTATATTCAATGACTTTTCTAGTATTGAAAAAAAAAAATAATAAGAAGCATGTGCAAAAAACTCTATTTGTTATATTTAAGACAAAATTATTACATCAATTATTTATTTTTATTAATTGATATTAAATGTTAATTCCATTATATATTTTATAGAATAATTTATATAATACTCTATAATTATCTTACTTAGCATTACATTTTTAATCTTTAACAAAAAAAAAAAAAAAATAGTACGCTCTCCTTCAAAAAAAAAAAAATTATTTTTTTTTTAAGAAAAATAAAAAAAATTGGAGCTATCAACATATTTTTTCTTTACATTAAAATTTCTTCTTTAAGTCAATGCCTTGATAAAAAAAGGAATTGTTAACTTTTTTTGAGAATGAAAATAACTAAATTTATTGAAAGTATATAGTTAACCATACAAGAGCTAGATAAATAAAAAAAAAAAAAAATTATGTTAGTTTTTTTTTACTTTCTCTTTATAACAGATATACATAAAAAAATATTTTTATTTTTTTTGGAAGAAGATAGTCGAAAAAAATAGTTGAAAAATTTAAGTAGTTTATTGAATAAAGAGTTTTCTTTCGTAATAAATTTTTCTTTTGAATTTTTAATAGAAATTTTTCTATATATAATAATAAAGTTTTCATGTTTGTAATGTTTTTACAATTTAATTTGTATTTCATAATGTTTGTTAACTTGGAATAAATGGATTTGAGTTGCTAAATGTTATTCATAACATAATAAGTAAAAATATATTTCGTTAAAAAAATCGACATTCAATGAGAATTTAAATTTTTAATAGAAATCTTTATTTTTATTAAAATAAATAAATGCCTCTTGAAAATAAAGAATGCTTAACGATATATACTATGTAAATATAGTTTACTTGTTTAATAGAATTTAAAATTATACATAAATTTATTAAATTAGTAGAGGTAACTCTATATGCTCTTTATTCAAATGTTTGTTTAGTACTCTAACAAAGTCATTGAACAGATAGTTAATAAAACAGTACCATAACCCCCAAAAAAAAAATATTATTTTTTTTTTTATAATTGTAAGTATACAAAAATAAAAATAATATATTACATCTATTTTTTGTTTAATTTTCTTACTTTATCGGAAGTTTTTTTTTTTTTTTTATTGTAAATATTTTTTGAGTATATATTAATAATATACTAATTTAGATATGTGCACTTTCCCCGCATACTAATTTATTAGTTGACTATTCAACAAATTTGTTAGTATCAAACAAATAAATTAATAAAGATCATGTAGAGTAAACTCTAGTTAATTCTAATTTAATTAAAATATATATTTTCATTAAATAACATCAAATAGTACATACAGTTAATTTTTAAGTTAATTTAAACGAAATTCCAAAATATAATTTCCTTAATATTATATTTTAACTTGAAAAATATTCACTTCATAGTAATTCGCACATCATCCTCCAAAAAAAAAAAAAATTTTAATTCTTTTTTAATTATAGATACATACAGAAAAAAAAAGGTTATTATTTATTTATTTTTTTTTTTTATTTTACACATTTTTGAATAAATATTTTAGTGTACGCGTTTATGATTTCTCATTGTCTCCGCGATTTATCATGCATGAAATAAAATTCTTTAATTCTATTTATTAATTTAAATATTATACAAGAGAGGTCTGTAATATTATTTATAGGACAATAGATTACTTTGTAAACTCTTAATTACTAGATAGTTGAGAAACATATGAAATCTACAAACTTCTTTGTTGATGATTACAAGGTATACGCTAAAAGTTCTTTATATTTAAAATAATTAAATGGTTGATCTTGATTAGACCTATGGAAATGTTTTTTGCAAATGCATCCATCACACTAACAAAAACTAATTCCTAAAGAAAAATCTTAAAATATTTCATGAAGAAATGAGATCTATGAAAGCATTTGAAATATTGCATGTCAGCAATAATATATCTACATGTTTGAGGGCATAATTTATGAAGAAAAATATTAACATAGGAATAGAGGACACTAATTTTGGGTAATTTAATAAGTGATGTTGTTGTGATAAGAAGAGACATTTAAAAATATATTGCATGCATACTAAAAAAAGATATGATAACTGTAATATGATAGATCATTTGATTTCAGTATGAAGAAATTATATTTTATGATATAGAAAGGATGAGATAAAATGAAAAATAAATTAAGGAAAGTACAACATTATTTTTAAATGGATTAAAAATGAAACTAATACATAAAAATTAGACATTTCAAAAATATATTGAAGGATAGAAAGCATACTTTGAAAAGAAAAAGGAAAAAGAAAAAAAGAAATATCATATTAAAAAATCAAAAGAATGTGATAATGATATAATAAGAAAAAGGGATAGACTTAAAAATGATTGTAAAATAGAATTGTAATAATAAAAATCAAAAATTGAATAAAATATAGAAGTGATAAAAATGAATATTCATTTAATAAGGCAAAAAATGTTGAAATTGTCAGAGGATTTAATTCGAACTTTAAGAAAATAGTTGAAATTATTGAAATGAAGGTACATCTTTTATTAGATAAAAGAAAGAACTATATTCTATATCATCTACTTCTGGAAATTATATAACTTTATTTAGATATATCATAGGTTAGAATGTGTGACATAATTAATGGAGGACAAGCAAAAATGCATAAGAAGATTGTGATTAGTATGATATTTTCATTTAAATTAGGAAAAAAAATTGCCTTGTTAAATATAGAAAAACCACTTTTATTAATTAGAGGTGTTGTCATGAATCATTTGAGACAAGTTAGCATGAAAAATAGTGAAAATCACATATATATTATGAAAATATAATAGGAAAAAGAAAAAGACAGAACTACCCAATCAAGTAATTATTTAAAATTTTATTGATAGAAATGGGTTAACTTCTAAGAAAAACAAGAATAAATTATGAAAAAATTGAAATCTGGTTCATTAGTTAGGAATAATAAAATGATAAAAATAAAAAGTAAATATAAAGCACTTATTGAGGCTCAAGAAATGCAATATAGATATAATCCAAGACTTTTATGCAATGAATTTTTATATATGTTGCACAATAAAATTGATAAAGTGATAAAATAAGGTGTCATAATTAAAGTTAATAATACAAAAAGAATTTGTTCAATTGCATTTTTTTGGAAAAAGGACGGTCAGCAGCGAGTAACTGTAAACTATAGTTATTTTATTTATTAATTTCATAATTAATGATTCTGCTAGTATTGAATAGGCAGATTAAAAAAAAAGTTGATGAAGAAATTCTACTTATTTTATTTAAAACAAAATAGTTTATCGTATAAATTATTTTTTTCTTGTTAATATTAAGTAATAATTTTATTAGTTATTTGCTATTTAAGTTAATTTACATAATAATATATAAATGCAATATTTAACATAACTTTTTTTAACTTTCTCTTATAAAAAAAATTATTACACATCACTTTCTCCAAAAAAAAGTAAAAAAAATTATTATTTTTTTTTCATATATATTCTATTTTTTTTTTATTTTTATATACCTTTAGTAAACTCATTTAGATTCATATAATTTTTACGGATACTTAACATGAATA